CCATCTCTCCTGAGAACCCTTGTTCAAGATGCACTTGGACACAACAAAGAAATCCACACAATTATGAAAGTGTTCACTTTCTTCATTTCTTGTTCATCAGATCTTTCTAATCTCTCAGAGATTACAAAGAGATCACTGCTCTCTACGGAGAAAAGGGTCCTATCCTCAGCTCCTTGCTGCCTTTCAGCTTTTGCTTGGTCTTGCCACCTTCAGCCTGGAAAACGGCAACATATCTGAGAGATTTACCAGCTGCCTACTTATCTATAAGGATAGAGTTAGTCTGATTGGAAGGGAATTTTTAGGACTATGCTTGTGTTTTAAATCAGCCTGTGCATATTTTATCCACCACATCAGAAAAGAAATACTTCTACTTACTTGGGTGTGAAGTTCTGTTTAATATATAAAGGAAGGTAACTTAGATAACTTTTCTTTCTTTTGTGACTCCCCCGCCCCATTCAAATACCAAATTGTTCTTACTATAGTCCCCCAAAGGGATATGTTCTTTGGTTAGGGGGTGGGGACTAGAGCGATAAAGAGGGGAAGAAAATCGAGCTCTTTAAGGGGAAAAGGAAAGGGAAAAAAGAAAGAAAAGGGTGGGGGAGATCGTCTGGGAATCTCAAGAACATCTTTATTTCGCCTTTTAACTCCCCGCCTTTCTGATTAAAGAGTTCAGACCTGCTCCCCCGCCCGCACTCAATTATTCCCAGGGCATCTTTTCTCAGAAGCTGTCACCATCACTTGCTGAACCGCAACCCCACCGTGAGCCATTAGCCCTGTTCTTTTCCGTTTCGCTTTTCTTTCCTCAGTTTCTCCCTGCCATCTTTATAAATCTCCCTTGGAGGAGGAGCGTTGGAGCGGGTGGAAGTCTGAACACAATGCCACCTGAGAATTTCTGTCACTCTCTGCATATGCTCCTAAGTGCTTTAATCCCAATTAGGGGCGGCTGACACACGGTCCTATTCATTCCCATCGGCTCTTGAATACATTTGCCTAGAAATGAACTTCACAAATAGAGGCGCTCCTAAATGTGCCCAACAGCAAGGAAAATCGAATTGAGCGCGGGCTCATTCGGCGGCGGCGGCGGCGAGGCGCTGAATGTGGAGGTGCCCCAGACATTGCAATTCAGCAGCACGCTCGCTCGCTGACTTTTCTTTGCACCATGTCAACCGAAAGAACCGAGAACTAAGTTGGGGGACTCTGGTTAAAAGGCAACTTGAGAGGGGCTCTGAATACTTTTATGGAGCCGCTTCCAATGGAAGACTTAAAACACAACAACCACCGCCCCCACAAAGGCCGCACAAACCCCCCCAGCAGCGCCGTGGCTGCGTCCAGGCCGCGCCCTCGGAGCCTCCCCGCTGCCGCGCACCCACCGGCCTCGCAATTAAGGAGCCGCTGGCTCGGGCGCCGGCGCCGCATCTGCTGGCGTTCCCAGCGCGGCCGCCGCCCCATCCAGACGCCGCCCTGACGTCCCACCCGCGCCTCGGGGGCCGCGCAGCTGGTCCGCCCTGACCCGCGGCCTGGCCGGCGCGGACACCATCCGGGGCGCGGACACCCCAGGGGGGCGAGGCCCTGCGCGCCCCGCGTCACCCCAAGCTCGACCACCGAACGCTGGGCGCCCGCGGCCTCCCTAGCCTCCTGCGCTCCCTGACTCCGAGCCCCCCAGTCGCTGCCGTCCCGGGGTTTGGGGCTCTGCCCTCCGGCCACAGAGCTAATTAGCGACCCCACACCACCTGGGTCCCCAAGGCGGAGGGACCTGGGAGTCGGCCGATCTGCCACTTCCTCTCCCCACTCCCGCCAGGCCGTACCACCTCCTCCCACGACGCCAAACTAAGGCCCTCCACATCTCTGCCACTGTCCCCATCTCTACTTGGGGCCTTTGAGGGCGCTTTCCCTTAAAGCCAGCGCAGGGCGGCGGGACAAACCGCAGCGAAGGGGCCACGGCGCCCGCTTAGCGCCCGCTTCGCGGGCAGCGCCACTGCGCCCGCCGCCCCCAAACCCCTCGCCCGGCAACCAGGGCCCGGGAGGGATTTCGCTTGAACGAGGCCTCTGGACGCCCATTTTAAGTCCATAAAAAAGCCGAGTGGAATGTTTTGATTGAGCCTCAACATTGTCTTTGAATAAGGCTGAGACCATGTAATTAATGTGTCTTTTTAATAAGGGACAATACGGCCGTTCAAGCTATTTAATTTCATTTAATTTTCCATCCCATTTGCTGCTCAGCCCGCTTTTACTTTTAACACCCAGCCTTTCACGGCCCATCTTGCTCCACTGGGCACATTAGATTGGTTTCACCCTTGCTTTTTAGGGGAGGAAAAATAAAAGAAAATGTGTTCCTTTCCTCCTTTGTGGACAATTTATTTCACTTGGGGAACTTCAACTCTGAGCCACAGGATAGAATAAAACTCAGCGAGCTGGTGTGAATGCCTCTGGCGCAGGCTCTTTCTTCTCGCGGGGCTGGGAACCAGTCACAATTGGCTATATTAATAAATAACTTTCCTCACAGTCGGCCTTTACATGGTTCTATTGATAAAATTGTTCGCGTGTCGTTCACGCTTTTTCACTCATTAAGGAGGGCCGGTGAGGCGCCGCGAACCCAAGGCCCCGCGCTCTCCTCTTCCCGCTCCAGAGCTGGTAATTTAAAACTGGGTGTCATCCCAGAGTCGCCAGGCCAGAGGTTAGAGGGACATGTTCATGGCTTAAATTTATTACCCTCGATGCTTCCAGTGGCTTCCTCTCCTCCTCCCCTCCCAGGGCTTTTGCCATTCATGGGCAGCATCAAAGGCGCGCTCCACAGAGGGGCTATTAGACAGTTAAGAAAAACCAGGGGCAGCTCCCCAAGAGAGTGAGGGGCAAAGCTTCTGGTTGTCCAGATTCTGGGGTGACTCTACTCCTCCAACCCAGCTACTGGATCTTCAGAGGTCTTGGAACCCCCATATGTGTTCCACACCATCTGATTGGAGACGTTTAGACACCTTGATCTTGACCAGGTCTGAGCAACTCCATGACAGAACCCAAGAGTTTAAGATCTTTCCAAACTATTCACCTTACAGGTTATTACCACTGTCTTTCCCAACTAACTAGGGATGAGGAAAAGAGGGTGGGGGGAGGTATAGACTTATTTGCACTATGGATCCCATTTTACAGATTAGGAGATTAAGGTTCAAAAGCCATTCTCTTGAAGTTATCAGCCCAGAGATTGGAGAGCAAGGTTTCTGTCTAGTATGAAATATGCAGGTGTTGAGGGGGAATGGGAGGCACAGAGGGACTTAGAGAGATTCTCTGTGGGTCTGCACCTGACAGACATCTGAGTTACAGATGGTGCCTCATCTTCTTTCTGCCCTTGTTAACCAGCAGTCACCTTTGGCCCTCAGCCAGAGATCACAGGCTAGAGCTGCAGGTGAAACCATAAGGTTGCAGTTGGGCCCTTTGCCTTTCTGTAGAGTGGACAGGTCGCAGCCACAAGGCTTTCCAAGAGCCCCAAGCCCAGAGCTACTCATGCTTTTACTCAGACAGCGTTGGCCTGGAGTTCTGGCCACCGAGGTCAGGCTTTGGTGAGGATGGAGCAGGACAAGATGGCCAAAGTCGTTGTTGACTGCACTGGCATCTAACAACAGGGGTCAGGCAGTTGAAGCATGGTCAATCAGACGGAATGTCAGTAGGACCCAAATATTTAATGAACTTGATCACTAGGTTTCTACAATATGAAAATAGGCTTCTCCAAAAGAAAATGGGGAACATTTTGGTTTAAACTTAAAGCACTCATTCCTCTCATTCATGAACTAAATAGCCATAAGGTAGAAGTTGCCTACAGATGCCCACCTCATCCTTCTACACAATGACCTTGATAGACCGTAAGCCTTTATTGTTATTTAAAAGATTTTAAGTAGAAAAGTGTCCAGCATAAACAGAAATATGTCCAATCTGTTGGTTCTGGAAAGACTCTTCCTCATTTTACACTTAAAAACAAATCTGGGCTAGGGGTGGTATGTGGGGACAACGTAATTAATAATTTGGCCAAAAGAACCCTTCTTTGACCAGGGTTCCGAATCCCTTCAATGCTGCGGCCCTGCGGTGGATTCCCACTCCCCAAGGACGGTAAGGGCCAGAGCGCAGCGAAGCACAGCTGACCTCGCCTCCCCAAACTGACCCAGACGCTTCATATTTTGGAGCGAAATGGGACAGACGTACGATAAAGCAGTTCTAAATAGACGACTGGCCAGAACCCAATACCCTGAAATGGTAATATGGTCGTTATTTAAAAAGTGGAGGTATTTTCTGGTGTTTTCCCATCAAGTACCTGCCTAATTTCTGTATGGCACACGCCAGAAATCAATAGAAGTTAACAAGTCCTCCAAATAGTCCTCATCTCTTTGTTTAATCTCCTTTACAATAAAGCCGAGGGGAGAGAATTAAAAATCTTTGAAGTAGACCAGGGCTCAAAAGAATCAGCCAAGTAGACTTAAAGTAGTCACTTATTTCCCAAAACTGGTTTGTCGGGGAACAATAAAAGGAAGTAAAATTTATGGATAAATTATACAGTGGATTTGTCACTTAAAATATCGTAACTGTCTTGGGGACAATACCCCATGCTGAGGATTAATGGTCCCGCGGGACCTTTGATTCACCAGCGTCTTTTCTTCGCCCTTGACAAATTGGATTTTTAGGAATGGGAAGGTCGCCTGGACCATTGTGCGCCAGCCATTCAGAGGCCTCGATTATGCAGGGGGCTGAGGGAACCACTCCATGTGACCCTCTCGGGTGGGACTCTGCAGCTGCTTCGCAGCGCAACTCTCTCACCAAACTCCGCGCCCTTGCGGTGGTGGTGCCAAAAGGCGCCTGCCGGGATTGAAAAGGCGCAGTGCATGCCCGGCCGCGTCACTCCGCGGGCGGAGGACGCACGTCGGGGCGCGGCTCCCCTGCTCGCGCCACTCAGCCTCTGCCACTCGCGCCCTGCAGAGGACCCGGCGCGCCCGAGCGCCTGCCTGGCGGCGGCGGCAGCAATGCACGGAGCCGCCCGCGCTGCAGCCACCAGCGTGAGTGCAGACTGCTGCATCCCAGCCGGCCTGCGCCTCGGACCCGTGCCCGGCACCTTCAAGCTGGGCAAGTACCTGTCAGACCGCAGGGAGCCTGGGCCCAAGAAAAAGGTATTGGCCATTCTCACCTCTTTTCCTCTGCCGTTGCCTTCCCTTGACCCTGTCTCGGGAAAGAGATGGGAAAGGGGAGAGGGAGGAAAGGATGGATTGTGTCGTTACTTGCCAGTTCTTTGGGCGGAAGGGGTAAGGGGACTTTATTTCCAGCATATCGCAGGGAATAACAAGAGCGGGACGTGAGCTAGAGGACCTGGCTGAGAGGACACATTTCCGAGTAGGGTGTCTGGGGCTCTCTCGGTGCCGGGCACTCTTGAAACTCATAGTGCCCTCATTCCTGGAGTCTCCTTCACAACTGTGACCTGGTTTACCGGGAGCAAGGCATCAAGGGCTGCCTTTCCTCTTCTTTTCAATAAACTCATCTTGGGTTTCACTTGAACCTCAGGTACTTTAGTCCTATTTCCTTGAAAAGGAAAAAAAAATCCTTGGAAGGCTCATACTTCCTCAACTCTCCCCAAATCTCTCTCTGCCTTGATGACTGCTTGCGGTTTTGGGGAAAATAGAGAGTCAGGTGGTGGCTCTAACGCGTCGCCCAGTCCCCCGATTCCTAGGGCAGCTGGATGTCCACCAGCGTGGAACATCGGGGAGGGTCGCCTACAGCTGGGTTCTAGGGAAAATTTAGGGGTCAAAGCCCAACTCACAGAAGCCAGAACCAGCCCGCCAGTTCGGGCTCCCCAAACAGCGTCGTGATCACAGAAATTAAAGGACGAGGTCGCGTTCAGGCGTCCTGGCGGCAGGAGTTTGGGCTGGCGGGGATCGGCTGGGAGATGAAGGCAGGAGTTGGCCGAGGAGGGGAGGACGTTGGTTTTAACGTGCAGCTTCCCCTTAAGCAACTGCACAGGAGCCCACAGCCAGCCGGACTCGCTTCTGTCCGCTCAAACACCCTCTTCCTCTGTGGTCTAAAAGGTGTTCCCTGCGCACCACGCCCTCCTCTTTAAATGTGCTTTAATTGCTTTTAAACAGCCGGCCAGTCTGCGGGTCAGCTTTTGCCTGAACGAGCTCTGTCCGGAGACTTCTGCTGCTCGCCTTGCTGCACCTCCACGCAGGGCACCTGGAATGGGGCGGCTTGGGGCGCTGGCCGGGGGCTCCTGGTCCTGGGACTGCAGCTCAGCGTCTCTGACCTGCCGCGAGGGCTGGTCTCAGCCGCAACAGGGGGTTGGGTCAGGGGAGGTCGGGGTGGGGGGGACTTAAGTGCCTGAGAGGACACTCTCACCGATTCTTCCTGTCACGAAGCCGAGGAGAGGATATACTCTTAGTCTAACCGACGTCCTCTTTCCGCCGCCGCCGTGCCCCCCAAGAAACAGCCCTATGGAATCTCTTTCCTCTGTCCTGCAGTCTGCGGTGTGGCCCAGAGAACGTAACCATTTTCTAACCGGGTGGGATGGAGGATAAACTTTCCCTCCGGGTTGGGGGACTGACTATCTGGGGACAATGACCACTGCTTGTGTTGCAGGTTCGCATGGTGAGAGGGGAGCTGGTGGATGAGTCTGGGGGCTCCCATCTGGAGTGGATAGGGCTAATACGGGCAGCCAGGAACCCTCAGGAACAGACTCTGGAGGCTATTGCAGACTTACCAGGAGGACAGGTACGGTGGATTCTCCTCTCATGGCCAATTCTTTCTTCCCACCCAGCTCTCTCAAGTGGACACCCAATACCGAGAGTAAAGAGCAATTTAGCCACAGGGTCTAGTTAATCAACCCAATAACCCTGTAGATAGAGCTCTCTTGGTTTTTTAGTACTTCCCTAAGCAGAAACACTAAAAATGCATGGTTTTAACAAGAGAAATGTTTAGGAGGCTGAAAACAAACAAACCCCCAAAACTCACTGCTGTGAAGCAGGAACACTTCATGGGTTTTGGTAGGTTGCAGGGAGAAGATTACTCATCTTCTCTTTCCCTGCCCCTAAGTGGCTGGAAATTCGAATCAGACAAGTGCTGCTTTTGGGTTAGCAGGGTAACTCCTTATGGACCGGGCCACCATGGCTCCACAGCTGACAATCCAGCTGAAAAATCACATGCGAGGAGATCCGTCATTGGTCTTCCCAGGAGCAGTGGCTGGGTTCAAACTGCGCTTATCACTAGGCCACCATCCGCTGTTGTGTGCTGTTGAGTCACAACTAACTCACAGCTGGCCCTCCAGTGGGTTTTCAGAGGCAGTTAACTGCACGGGAGGAGATTGTCCATACTTCTCCTGCAAAGCAGCTGGTGGATTTGAACCGCATGCCTTTGAAATTGCAGCACTGCATCTTAACACTAGCCCACCTGAGTTCTTTAAATAGGCTAGAAATCCAAATTCAGAGCAGCAGCCCTAGGGAAAAGCTTCTTCTCTCTGATGGCTCTGGAAGGTCTCCCCGTCTCCTTAGCTTCTGCCTCCCAGTTCCTCCACATGTTTTGGCATCTATCTTAATACCATTTTCTTTGCTTGTTTAATCTCTTTCATGAGAGATTGATTAAAGATATATACTCTAATTTGACTCATTAACACAATAAAGACAACTCACCCTCAAATGGGATTACGGTCTCTAGAATAGAGGTTAGGATTTACAGCACATATTTTTTGGAACACAACTCATTAACGTTTACATATTAACATTACCACTTTTACCTTTATGAATGAGGAAAGTTCAGAGCAGCTTCATTTTTCAAGGGTTACACTGTGTCAGACTGGATTTGAACATTTCCTCTCATTTGTCCTTTGACAGATTATCTAGTAATGACAGATATCTATCATTCCCTCTTTCCTCCCCCAGATCTTCTACAGAGCGCTTAGAGATGTCCAGCCAGGGGAGGAACTGACTGTGTGGTATTCCAACTCCTTGGCTCAGTGGTTCGATATCCCTACAACGGCAACACCCACTCACGATGAGAAAGGTACTGCCTCTCTGGAAGGCCTCCTGTTCAGGTCAAGTGGACAAGGGTCCAGTCCTCCTCTGGATTTTGGGTGTGTCCCTAGATTTGAAGGGTTTTTCTTTTGAGCTGTGCAAAACTGAGTACATGTTCCCTGTGTATGGACTCAATATTATCACTACTTCTTAAAACCAACAGTAAATGATAATGAAAATGGCATTATAATCTGGTTCATGTTGGCATCACCGAAAAGTAGTCTTTAAAAAATATTAAGCTGAATTTTGTAGGGTCCTAACCCCAAAAGACAATCTTAACAAGCAATACAGATTTTTATTCAAACATTATTACAGTAATTACAACATGGACTCCAGAGAATAGAACTCAAACTTGACATATTTTTAGAAGGTGGTGTAGCAGAGATTATTCACTAATGTGGAGGAAAGGAATGCATTTCTGCAACATTTTAGGAGTATTATGGTATTACAGCTGGTCAGTTGGCAGGTACTGAGGCTGGTATTTATTCATTTCCCCCTCCTTACTTAAGTAGAATCTGGGATTTATCCCAGTTTCTTCTCAGATTTATTTGATCCCTTCCAAAGCCAAGAGCGGGTTTATGCAAATTAAGGTGCAGTGAGAAAAACAATTTCAAACGTTTTCTAGAACACTAAGCAGACTTCCTGTGGAAACAAAGGTTGGAGGTGCTAAGATATTTAAAAACTGTAGACTTTTAATACACAAGGATTCCCAGCTTTTCATTTTCATTGCTAGTTGCTTTAGTTTGTATTTTTTCCTTAAGGAACTATTATTATTTAATGAGACCATAATGAATGCTGTGAGATATTTTAACATACTTGTGAACTGCCTCATCCTTCTAGAGATGAGCTTAAAGACATTAAAACAAATATGGGAATTAGGAAACACTTTATGAACAAGACAGAATTAAGCTATTTGAAATGAGGAGTCATTTCAATTTATCTGTCCTCTGCCTATTGATTTTGTGAGTAAATTTGTATATATAGTATTCATGGAATTATCCTAAGAATGTTTTTTCTTTGTATTACACTATATTAAACTCTTTTGTCAACTTTGTTTAGTAAAAGAAAGCGAGACACAAGCCTTACAGTGGAGAACTCTCAAACCTTCCACTACAGTAGTTTGGGCCTATTAATCTTTAGCATTTCTGTACAGGATATTATCCTTTGGACACACTCAACTACCACAAAAATAGCTGATTTGAATAGTGGTTTTCATGCTTTCATTTCTGCTAGTTGGGATTATAAATATCATATGGTAATAGATGTCAAGCTGCCATTTTCATTACTAGAATTGTATAGGTTATACTGAACTCTGACTTCTCCAGTTTACAGATGCTTAAAATCTTGACTTTGCATGAATGCAGAAAAGAAATGAGGCCACTGCCTAGGAAGTGTATTTACTATTCTTGGCATGGGTTTGATGTCAGGGCCTGGAGAAAATGATAGGAAAGAAAGCCAAGAGAGGGCATGTTGAAACAGGAAATATGTAAATTTAATTCTTGGAAAGAGGAAGTAGAGTTACCATTTCCCCAACATTAATTAATAGCAGATTCCAGTTTCATAGTAAGATTAAGGAAAATACCGATCCTCTATTTTAGAAACAAAACTTATTTGCTTTGCAATTAACTGAGTCATTCTGAAGTTGCTTCTTCAAACTACTTTTAAAGAGTGATGGGAATGATGTTTTTAACTTATCCTGTAAGAGAACTCATCTTTCTCTTAAGAGTTTATTTTACATTCATGTTGAATAGAAGAGGAACTGAAACGATTTTAGCTAAATATTCCATAGACAATTAATTAAAACAGGTAGATTCTTCACTCTCCCCTCCCCCTCAGCCCCACGTTCTTGTTTCCTTTTGGCTTCAGCTGTAATACACTGCTCCTCATTTGACATTTTTTCTTAGTTATTTGGACAATTTCATGCATTATGTAAAACCAGATATAATATACTAAAGGAGAGTGAGCTCAGAATTCCCCTCACTGTTGTTTCTGTAGTAATGTTTTAGAAGCTTGAGCAGCTTGTGAGAAAGAATAAACTTTTATAAGACTGAGATACTTTGGAGACTTCCTTGGGGCTCAATGAACTCACAGACACTCTTCTTATTAGGCAAATGTGGTGTTTTAAAAGAAATTTAACTGCAAGATTTCTCATTTCTGTAAACAAGCAGCATGACTTTTTTGACCAAAAGTGCACTTCTACCACATGATTAGAATTTGTTCTATACAGATTATATTTACAGGTACTGACAAAATTAAGAACAATTAGTGATAGCATATCAACCACAGACACCAAAACATGTGGGCTATTCTAGAAAAAAAATTACATTATTAAGAGAACTGTGTACTTATTTAAAAAGGGAATATTTACATATTCATGTATTTTTTAATATTACAGATTAGTGTAATTTAAAAAATTATATCCACTACAAGCATTTTACCAAATTTGGGCATATCTATGAGTCAATTACCAAATGGAACAACTAGCAAGATAATGCTATACCATCCTTCAGATTTTAGCATATAAAGACAGCACTCCCCCTTCCCCAGTCAACTTAAAAGGGGTTAAAGACGAAATATACAAATAATTTTGAAGAATAACAAATCACATTCCCTATGTGGTCCTTTAGTTGGTCACGCTCCAGGAAAACCTCAGGCAAAGTGTTTAAGGCTGAGAGGGGTTGGGAAGGGTGGGTAGTGGACACAAAAGGCATTGTTCTATGAATAGGAATGATTACATATGGCCCATATATACAGGATATTGTCTCCCCTGGTAATGAGGCGCTCACGACCATTAGATTGGCCTTTGTTCAGTTTATCCAAACTCTTTGACATACGCCACTTATTCTGCAAACGCCAACAGATGGGCCCAGGCACAGCACAGCCTCAACACTTGATTTAAAGCAACAGCTGCTCTCTGCCACCCTGCTCTCCTCTCTTCTTCAGTCAGTTTTCCTGACTGCTGCCTTTCCAATGGAAAGGCCCAGGTCATCCCTCTTCATCTCGGAGTTTCCCCAGATGATGAAGATGATGACAAGGGTTGGCCATTTGGAACTTTTCATAGTCCTTACTATTGTAGGGCTATCAAACTCACTTTTTTTCCAGGGCCTCAAAAATAACTTGCTTTTTCCCATATCTCTGGGTAAAAAGTGGACTTTGCCTTGGGCGCGCGGGCGCTTTCTTTTCTGCGTGTTCGCATCTCACGGAGTCGCTTTTCCACTCTTTCTCGCCCAGGGGAAGAACGCTACATTTGCTGGTACTGCTGGAGGACGTTTAGATACCCTAACAGCCTTAAGGCTCACCAGCGTTTCCACTGCGTGCTCAGCGGCGGCCGCGCCTTCCTGCACCACGAGCACGCAGCTCGCCAAGGCACCGCTCCGGCCCTAGATGGCTTTCACCTGTCCCCGAAATCCACAGCACCCGACTTCCCCGGGGCCATCCCATCGGACACTCTGCGGCCCCATCCGCAGGCCGCGCCACCCGCTCAGGCCTGTGGAACGCGGGAGGGCATTAAGCGCGAGGCGTCCTCGGCGCCGTCAGCCACCTCGCCGCCGGTGGGGAAGTGGGGGCTTCCCAAGAAAGGCAAGGAGCAGCCAGAGCGCGCCTTGGACATGAGCGGAGCCTCCCGCGGACACAGTCACTTTCTGGGCATCGTGGGTGGCTCCCCAGTCGGGGGAGGCGGCCTGGCTTTCTACCCTGGCGTGCGCTCCGCCTTCAAGCCCGCAGGCTCATCCAGGGCCACTGCGGTCGCGCACGGCGACCCCTATCGGGAGGAGGGCACCGGCAAACCCGGGACTGGCCTGACCTTGGGCAGGCTGCTGGGCGGGGGCCGGCCGGCCGGGCGTCCCCGGAGCGGCGAGAACCCGGCGGCGGGTGGCGCCAACCACCACCATCACCACCACGCACACCACCACCACCATCACCACCCCAAGTGCCTGCTCGTGGGAGACCCGCCGCCGCCCCCTGGCCTACCCTGTTCGGGAGCTTTGCGCGGCTTTCCTTTGCTCCCGGGTCCCCCAGAGGAGGCTTCTGCTTTCAAGCACGTGGAGCGTGCCCCGCCTACCGCCGCGGCGCTACCCGGAGCGCGTTATGCGCAGCTGCCCCCCGCGGCCGCCCTGCCCCTCGAGCGGTGCACGCTCCCGCCCCTCGACGCGGGCGGGCTCAAGGCCTACCCGGGCGGCGAGTGTGGCCACCTGCCCGCGGTCATGCCAGCCTTCACCGTCTACAACGGGGAGCTGCTCTACGGCTCGCCAGCTGCCGCTTACTACCCGCTCAAACTGCACTTCGGCGGGCTGCTCAAGTACCCAGAATCCATCTCCTACTTTAGTGGACCCGCGGCAGCGGCAGCTGCGGCTGCGGCTGCCCTGAGCCCAGCTGAGCTGGGTTCCCTGGCTAGCATAGATCGAGAGATCGCCATGCACACGCAGCAGCTGTCGGAGATGACGGCCGGGAAGGGTCGTGGTCGCCTGGACACGGGGGCGCTGCCACCAGCCGTCGTAGCGGGCGGCGCTGGGGCCGGTGGCAGCGGGGTGGGCGGCGCCGGCAAGCCCAAGACGGGCCACTTGTGCTTGTACTGTGGCAAGCTTTACTCGCGCAAATACGGGCTCAAGATCCACATGCGGACTCATACGGGCTACAAGCCGCTCAAGTGCAAAGTGTGCCTGCGACCCTTCGGCGACCCCAGCAACCTCAACAAGCACATCCGGCTGCACGCTGAGGGCAACACCCCCTACCGCTGCGAGTTCTGCGGCAAAGTGCTGGTGCGCCGCCGGGACCTCGAGCGCCACGTCAAGTCCCGCCACCCGGGCCAGAGCTTGCTCTCTAAGATAGCCGACGGCCAGGGCGCAGAGCCTGGCTATCCTCTGGAGTCCGGGGAACCCAAGAGTGACAACGACAGCGACGTGGATGTCTGCTTCACTGACGACCAGAGTGACCCCGAAGGCGGGGGTGGCGGCGAGCGCGATGCGTAACCAACCTTCCAAGGGAGGGTGGGAAAGGGCGCGGATACAGGGACACAGAGAAGGCGGGTTTTAGAGAACCAGACTGCCTGATGGATGGTAAGAAGAGGGATCCCATTGGCAAACATTTTGATTTTTAGTAGAGCGACAGGTTTGGGACAGTAAGAGGTTTCGGGTGCAGTGTTGAAAAACAACACAAAAGTTGAGAGGCAAGGCACCCTAGCGCTTCAGCTCTTTAGATTCCACCCCAGCTTCGCGCACAGGGAGTTTGGGATCACATCCATGCAAACGTCACAGCGCCCTCGAGGGTACTCGATTTTATCTGCCACGTATTCTAAAGTTATACTTTATTTTCTGTGAAGGAGATTGTGCCTTTGAAACGATGTTTTGTGTGTATGTTACGTTAGTATCTCCCTGCATAGGCAAAAGAATAGCAACACTTTGATAGATGTGACATTGGTACACTTGTTTCCATTTCATCTGTTCTCGTGTCAAAGACTGCGCTATGACGCATGAATATATATAGTGGTAGCAGGTGTACAAATTGGTCAAGTTGCAATTATTTATAAGATAATAATGACAAATGTAAAATAATCTAAAGCATGAATCGAAGAGCACGCAATATATAATTTTAAAGATAATGCCCTATTTGGTAGAGTGCAAATGTGGTGTATGTGATTTCATAATGAATGAAGTACGTACAGTGGATACAATGTTTTGGTCTTGGTTTCAGTTTGTGCAATCTTTAAGAAAAATAAAAATACTTACAAATGAGAGTTTGTTCACTTCGTGATTTCAGCAAATTATTTAAAAAAGATTTTAGGAAATAGTTTTAGAAGAGTCTGTGCCAAAAAAGTAATAAAATACTTGAAGTTTAAATAAACACTTCGATTATTAACACAATAAATATTAAGCTATATTGTCATAGGAAATATGCAATTTTCAACGTGTGCAATTTGCAGGTCCCTGGGTACAGGCAAAACAATTGTTTTCAGAAATCTTTATTAGTTTTATGAAGCGTTTTTTTTAATGTATACTGACAGAAGCTAACGACCTTCAAGAAAGAAAAGGGCTCTATACTTTCTCAAAAAGAATTATGAACTTAGAATCATTGTTTCTTGTCATGTTCCATTTTGACAGAACTTTCCTTGGGAAGCAAAAAGGAAACGTACCCAATGCTTTTCATGATTCATGCACCTTTTAGTTATTTCTCCAACAAATGCTGAAGGATGATATATTTTAGTTGGACATACTGATCTATTTGTTTTATGTAGATAGACTTAATTCCCCCCTCCTTTCCACACTTCTGCTTTCAGTAGTTGTTGTTGTTGTTGTCATCATAGTCATTGAGTGCCTTCAAGTTGAGCACAACTCATAGTGACCCTATGAACAAAAGGCCTGAAGCCCCTCTACAACTGTCGACATTTATCAAAGTTCATAGTTTCCGGAGGCATGTTGTTTAGGATGTGGGTGCCACTCCTGCTTCCAAGCTTTCAGTAAGTAGTCCCATTTGGTAGAAAACAGACTGGTGTAAGTCACTAGGAGACCCAAAATTAAAATGATAAAGTTAGAAGCAATGATGCTGTTTATGAGTTAAAAAACAATGGCCAATAAAGAAGAATTTAATAAGAACATAATTTTGTGGGCCAAAGGTGGAAGGTATGTCTCATCCCCTCTTTCATACACTGGGAGAATTTCACTTCAGTTATATAGGAAGTAGAGGGTTGGCCCTAAAGGTAGGGGCAGGCAACCTAAGAATTCAGGTTAGCAGTGTTTTCTAGTAGTTGGTAGAAATATTCTAGTGGGTCACTGAAGGATCTGGATAGAAACCCATTTATGTTCATTTGTTTAAAAATGCCCTTTATCTTTAGCATCTTGAGTACTTTGACAGTCTTTAATCTATTGTCTTTGAGAAATACTGCTTCAGTTGCTAAGGGCCAACCTCAGAGACTGTCTAGACCACCACAACAGGAGGAATGGGTGGGTGGGTGTCTAACTTTTGTGAGTGCTACTCCGCAAAAATATTTTTTCTAGAGGAAAACTTACCTCAGGAATATTAGGTCGGTATAAATGATACAACCAGGAGATGTTTGATTTCATAAAAGAAAGCCAGAGAAAGAAGTGTGGAGTAGATGAACATGGTAATCAAGATGCTCTTATTTACCTAGGACTTTTCAGATCCTTTTACTGTTTGTAGCAATAGGGGAAGATGCTGGCCTTCCCATGCCAGGTTCAGGCATTGCCACCTCATACAGAAAAGAAGTCAGCCCAGTATCTGCCTTTCAACCTGTAACTCTCACTCCTGCTTGTTACTGTGGTCTCATCCATTGGAGCAAATATTTGAAACCAAGCTCACTTTTATTAGAAAACTTTCAGTTTTAAAGAAGAATGAGAAAGGCTAACTAGATTCCAAACATGAGAAAACAATTTTATCAACTATTGAAGTCATGAAGGACTGGACAAATTAGAAATGATCTAGAATAACTAATGCACATTTTTAGCAAAGTGGTAAAATGGAGTCTGGCTGGAGCCAGAGCATGAAAAGCCCTGGTAGACTATGTTAACAGTCAATAAGGAATAGGCAATAATAGACAATAAGGGAGGGCTGGTCATAAATAAATGGAGCTGTGTTACAAACCGAAAGGCACTAGGTCTTACCTGACTTTATGGGGGGGTGGGGGGGGGGAGAGAGAGAGAGAGAGAAAGAGAGAGAGAAAGAGAGAGCCATGCTCCTCACAGCTACCAAAACCAGGGCAATGAGTATATGTATGTCTGGGTCAGTGAGACTGGCTCAGGATTGGTCAAAGTTCAGAGCTATTGTACATAGGATTGCTATGAGCCACCGGCGACTAGATTACATATAACAAACAACTTCTGTACTAACTCCTATAGCTCTGACTATTTTTGGTGAAAATAGCCTGTAAAGAAATAAAAACCATAGTAAAAGAAAATACATTTAAAATTGATACTGTATTAAGAAAAAAAATCCAGGTTTATGTTTCCCTTTTTAAAAATTATGGCTATTAGAAGTTACTAAATGATGTTTATAAAAAATAAAAGCGGAACAGATTTAAAAGCTCTTAATAGCAGATCACTTTTAATTCTACATAGGTTGTCTCATACATGATATGTATATGCATATTAGGATAAAAAATTATCTTCATAGTCAAATCAGTGATATAGTATAATTATATTCTTTTAAAGGGTTCTGTGAATCACTGTTCTGCAGAACACACCTTTCGGTGTCCTACTCATTTTCTTTAATGATAGAATTTTAGAAATTAGAAACCTGTATGCTGTATGCAGGAATGGCATCCACTTCCTAAACAACATGCCTTCAGAAACTCTGTGAACTTTGATAAATGTGGGTAGTTGTAGAGGGGCTTCAGGCCTTTTGTTCATAGGGTGACTATGAATCCTGCTCTATTCCCAGGCAATCAACAACAACAATACTGGTGATTACAACTAACTTTGAGGGTTATCCTAAAGTCACTAGAGGTTTCCAGCCAAGATTTGAACCAGTTTTGTGAAGAAATACATCTATTTTTAAGTCTACATTATCTCTCTCTTTTGTTGTATGCCTTTCAAAAGGGAAAGATTCCAGACTGTTTGAATCTAGTAAATTTGGGTATTAAAATATAACCCAAATAAATTAGACCTCGATAACTAGTCTTGTCTATCTTACTATCTTGGAGTCTTGGACCAATTTTTCTATTGCCTCAACTTCCTAATCTGTAAAATCAGATTAGGTGAAATAAGCAATAGGATAATTGTGAAGACATAAAGAGTTAATGTCAGCTGTTTAAAATCATGACACATTGTAAACTCTGGAGCAATATTAAGTTAGTCACTCCTTATGTTTCCATTTCAAGAACAACAATGTAAGCAATAAGAGTCGATCTTTTTACAAACACTAGCAATTTTTTGCAAGTGAATTACTCTCAGCTTCATACGAACTCACACCAGCTGCAGTAATTAAAGATTCCTAACTTTTGCCCAAGTTTTAAGAATTTGTTTAGGCCTTCTACCAGGTCATTTTTCTGTTTTAATCTCAGAAAAACAGTTCAAAACCTGTTCAGATGGTTTATACGCAGTGCTTAAGAGCGTGAGAATGTTTTCTCTACTGAATGCTTGCTTAGCTAGGTAGGCAATGATGATATTAATGATGAGATTATTAAGAATGCAGGTGACGTGACCCGGTGGACACTTCCTACAGAGCTAAACAGAGAGCTAGGAATCCATCACCATCTACAGTTTCCTGAAGTTTTACCCTGAGGAGAATTTTACGGGTCTACATTCTGAAAGAGGTTAGTGGTAGTGACACTTCAGGTCACTAGCGTTCTCCTCTAATTGGGTCTACATAGGTGGTAGTGATGGGCTCCAGAGCAGAGAGGGCAGTGATTGGCTGAGGAGCGTTAAGTCCGAGCACTGCCATTGGCTCATTATTGAGTCTCCATAGGTTGTGGGCTGTTTGCTAGCGGGTGATTTGAGTTTGCGCTCCTGGGCCGAAGCCCGCCCCTCCAAGCGCCCTGGAGCATCAAGAAACAAGCCTAGCTTCGTTCCCCTGTGGCTCTCTTGCACTCACTGCTTCTCTTAACTGAGGACCAAGTTCTCCTTCTCAGGCAAACTTTTCCTGCTCAGGGTTGTGGGAAGAATTTGGGAGTCCCTCACTTTAGATGTACAGCCAAGGAGCCCTGGATTCGGGAATTCTGCGGAATTCAGCCGGAGCCAGGGAAGAAGGTGGGCAAAGGCGTTTCAAGAGCCGAATTAACCCTTGTTAAAGTGTCCGTGTCCGCCTGGAAGCTAGAGCATTAGCGCTGTGCTCTCTGCCATCTGCTGCTTCCTCAAATGGAAGAAGGGCAGAGGCGCTGTCGCCACTGGGAGGTCAGCCCCTTGGCCACACAGGTGTGAGTTGTGAAGGCAAGCACTCAGCAGACGGCGGGGCCAACTCCTTTAATTCCAGAAGGAGCGTGGCGCTCACTCTGAGCTGGATGACCTTTCCACAAAAGATGAAAGGAGAGCGTCTGTCGTCTGAGACTGTATTTAATTCAAATTAGATGGACGTTTCGGGACAGACAACTTGTTAATGCCTCTGCCTTGCATCCTAGGCTCCTTTTTTTTTTTTTTCTTAAAACCCCTAAACCAAAGCCAAGATAACCAAACAGGCATTAAATAGGAGGGATGTGTTTGCAAGTAACCCCTTTGAAAACACTGATTTTACTTTAAAGTCAATATTTTAAAGTTATTTTAATGTTACTATCTCATGAAAACAATAAAGCTAAAGTTCAAGTTCATTAAAGAATGTAAAAGTCACAGATGAAGATAATTTTTTTTTTATGGAGTCAGGAAACTTATTAAGGTGATAACATACATTATATATCCAATATCCTGAGTACTTGTCACTTTATTTTTAATTTCCTTATCTTTTTTATCATAATTTTACATGGTAGAAAATGAGTGAAAACACACATTTCTTTTTAATGTTGACAGTACAATAATGTTCCTGGAAGTTACTTTAAATAATCCAGTCCATGCCAAGTTGCATTTGAATGGGAGACACTCAACTCCAATGACTTACTCAGAAAGCCTTTAGGTGGAAATGTCTTATGTGACAGGAGAAACAGTGAAGAGAGGTGCAATAGCAAATGGCTTTAGATAAGAACATGGTGAAGGTCAAAGATTGTTTTAAATCTTGTTTTCTAAGTCCCTGACAACTGGCAGGAAGAGAAGATTTCATACTTGACACAGAGCTGTTGATTTCTGACTTATCACCTCAAGGGAAATAGATAGATACGGCCAGGTCAAATCCAAGTTTACTTGAATGCCATTGGACCATACCAGAACACATCTGTGAGCAACAAAATGCTTTTAGGTATGCCAAAAGTCAATATAATGAGAAATAAGCTATGTATGATGTCACATTTTATAAATTTTTGTGTGATTTTCAGCAATGAAAGAAATGCCTTTGCAACCAAGAATACAGAGAAAAAAAGAAAACATGTTAAAAGATTGATAGATTAGGCTTTCTGAGTTATTTAAAGCTAATATGCTAAACTCACTCAAGGAGATGGATTTATATGGTGACTGCAGCAATGAATTTAAGAAAGGCTGGGATTAGGACGAGGCATATCTTGCAGGATTGGTCAGGGCTTTGCTTTATTCTGTTGTTCGTAAAGTTATGATGACTTGGAGTCATCTGGAAGGTACCTAACAGTAATAACAATATACTAAAATGTGGTTTTAGGGTACTGGTTTTGCCATCCATAGGTGTACTTGTGAATATGTTGTACCCTATATTTGTTTAAAACATAAATTTTAGTGTATTATTATCCTGAATAGGGAGCTCTGGTAGCCTCGTGACTAGAAGCTGCATTGTAATCTCTAAGGAACACGGTGTGAGGCCACTAGCTCCATGAGAGAAGGATGGGCAGTCTCTTCCCATGAGTTTAACTGCCTCTGAAAACCCTCAGGAGAGTCAACTATGGGTTGGTTCCAACTCTATAGTACACAGCAACAACATTGTCTTGAATAGTGATTTGATAGCACTCTTTTATGAAATCTTATTTGATAATTATAACCAACTATTTTACAGATAGGGAACTCTGGTGACCAAGTGGGTAAAGAGGTGCACCATCAACCCAAAGATGTTCAAATCCACTTGTGATTCATGAAAGAAAGTTCCGTCTTTCCCTGTGCAATTTTCAGCCTCTGAAAATCTGATGGAGCGTCATCTCAGTCAGTTTTGACTTTACTGCAACGAGAGAGGTTTTATTTTTCTTTTTTATTCTTTGGTTGAGAGAGATATTTTACAGATACAGAGCTCTGGTGGCCTAACCTTTAGGAAGTTGCACTACTATACCAAAGGTGGTACCTCTTTAATGGTTTAATCCAGCAGCTGCTCCATAAGAGAAAGATGGCAAATCTTGTCCCGTTTGATTTATGTGTCCTGGAGAAAGTACAGGCAGAATACTCCTTGGAGGCAAAGATGATAGAGTGTCATCTCAATTTGGTCCTGTTACTGTTATTATACACTATCATGTTGAGTATGATTCATAGAGACCCTCTGAACAACAGATCTGAAACCTATCCTATGCCGTCCTCACAATCTGTGATACATTTAAGCCTATCTATTGCTGAAGCCACTGTGTTAATCCATCTGGTTGAGGGTCTTCTTCTCCTTTGCTGTCCCTTCACCATTCCAAGCATGATGTCCCTCTCCAAGAAATAACCTTCTCAGCAACATATCTGATACTATGCGAGGTGAAGCTTGTCATCTTTACTGCTAAGGAGCACTCTGGCTTCATCTTTCCCCAAATTTATATGTTCTTTTGGCAGTCCATGGGATAATTAGTGCTCTTCCCCAACATCACCGTTTAAAGGCATCAATTCTTCTTCTGTCATTCTTATTCATTGTTAAGCTCTTAGATGCATAGAAAGAGACTGAAAGACCATGGTCTGAATCAGGTGTACCTTAACTCCTCAAGCTGACATCACTATTCCTCAATAATTTGGAGAGATCTCTAACTATAGACTTTCTCAGTGCTTCTGATTTTCTGACTGCTGGTACCACATGTATAGATTGTGGATCCAAGTAAGATGAAGTCATTGATAGTTTCAAACTTTTCTCCATCTATTTTGATGTTATTATAGGTGCAGTGGTAAAAATTTTTGTTTTCTTGCTGTCGAGATGCAATTCACATTGAGGGCTGTATTTTTTTTTATCTTCTACAGCAAGTGCTTCAAGTTATCTTCACTTTAAGCTAGCAAAGTTGTGTCATCTGCATAACCAAGGCTATTCATGAGCCTTCCTCCAATCCTGATGCCACATTCTTCTTTGTAGAGTTCACTTATTTAATCTAGGCACATTTCTAGGACAGGCTATTTGTTGGAGAGGGACATCATGCTTGGAAAGGTGGAGAATCAGTGAAAGAAAGACCCTCAACCAGATGGACTGACAGTGTGACTGTAGCAATGGGCTCTAGTGTGTCAGAAATGATACGGATAGCACAGTATAGGACAGGGTTCAGACCTGCTGTCCAAAAGGTCACTATGAATCATATTTCATCTGAGAACCTAACAACCACAAGCCATGCATGAGTCAGCTATGAGGCACTTCTGACTCAATGGCAATGATTTTATGTTTTGAGTGTATTTTATACATTGGAGAAATTAATTTTGTGTGATTCGCTAACAATAGTCCCAGAATTTACTCCTAGTTTGTCTACACTATAGCCTCACTCTCAACATACTTTATGTTCTCTTTAAATCACTATCTTCTGATTAAGAGGAACCCAGAAATTCAGTAGGAGGGGATTTTTTATATCTAAATATATATGACAATGAGATGAATGATCAATGGCTCTTACTAGGCTTTTCAGGTTTAAACAGGGTTAAGTTAGAGACCGTCTCTGACTTTCTATATACTTGAAATCATCTTTAGAATTCTGACAAATTTCTGTAAGGTTGAAAGCTTGGGTTAAGGCTGTTCTAGTTTGGCTTGGTCTTATTAAACATAAAAATATGTATGTAGGAAGGAAAATATGTGTTGAAAATTTCAGCGCTTCTGTGCACTGCCAGAAGGAGCCTTAGTATCACAGTGTGGAGCATTATCAGTTGCTAATCAAAAGGTTGGCAGTTCAAATCTAACAGTTGTTTCCAGGGAGAAAGATGGATCATCCTTCTCCAAAAGCCTTACAGTCTTGGAAACCTGATAGATGGTTACTATGAAACAAATCAAATTTGATAGTAGTGTTTTGGGTTTTTGGGCTTTGTGTGTGTGTGTGTGTGTGTGTGTGTGTGTGTGTGTGTGTGTGCAATGTAGAGAACCAACCAATTCCTAAATTAGGATTCCAAAAGTTTTCCAATCTCCTAGCCTGCCTTGAGATTGGAGATTATCAGCAGTGTGATTCAGTTTTCCAAGTCTTTTCACATGTAGAAGCCTAACATTTCTAGGAATTGTACTGAAGTTACTTCATTGTTAAAGGTGTCCAAGAACAAAATAACAGAATTCCAGGTACATTTTTAACTAAAAAGTATCAGATTGAGGTAAAAATCTCAGTATATACAAAATGGTAGAACGGAATCAACCCAGATGAAGAATTTTGGGATGATGTTGAGATTTAATAGCTGTAAGGTCATGAAGATTGGAACTCGGATGTAGTCATTAAAAATGTACTTTATTGGGCAAAAGACAACACACTCATTATCAAAAAAGATATTCAGGTGTCCAACAAACACATGAGGAAATGCTCAAAATTACTAGCAGTTAGGGAGATGCAAATCAAAATAGTAGCAAGATATGGTCCTACCCCAGGACCAATAGCAAAGTTTAACAGGACAACAAACAAGAAACATTGTTGGAGTTGTGGAGGAATTGAAACTCATACACTGCTTCTATAACATGTTGCAGCCATAATACCCTATCATGTATCCCTTAGGGTATTATGATTATCACAAGAGTCCAGAATGAAGGTTGCATAGTGGAGTGCACGCGGGTCAGGGGGATTGCATATCAGTGAAGGAATTTTTCTTTTAGTTTTCAAAGAGAAGAGTGAACTGGGGTGGAGGGTGAAGAGGGGTGGGCAGGGAGAAAAGTGTAACAATGAATGAATGGAAATCCAAAATCTCTGTAAATGTTCATTAAAATTAATAAAATAAAATAAAAAAAAGTTGCAGCATGATGGAAGACAGTTTAGCGTTTCCTCAAAAAGGTGAAGATAGAAATCCTATTTGACCCAGTTATTCCACTACTAAGAATAAACTCTAAGGAAATCAAAGAGATCAAAAGATATATGTACACCTCTGTTTATTGCATT